TATCAGTTGAGTCTAGAAATATGTGAGAAGAAGGTACGCGCGGCGAAGCCGCGCCCGCCCGGCGCAGCCGGGCCGTATCAGAAGGAGCCGCGCCGGCGTCAGCCGGCGAGGCGACTGGTTGCTAAATACGGCCCCTTTCCTCAACGTTCTCCTTGGACAAAACGCTACCTGGTCTTCTACAAGCATGCCTACCCTCTTACCAAAACCTTCGCTCGCCTGCTCCTGGAAAATGGGCTGGCGCCGCGCCAAAACTAACTCTCCTTACACACCACAACGTCTGCGGCGAAAACGATTGTAGCCATGCTCACCGTTGGCCAGAGTATATACTTCAAGAGCGCCTGAGTTGGAAAGAACTTTTTCGGGTCAAATGTCACACCTGTTAAGCGAAACGTAAGGATTATGTGCCCTAGTGGCTACACAAGTGTATCCTGGTCCAAAATCTTGTAAGATCACAAACTTTGCATTGTTGCGGCAAAAGCTGTTGAGGGAGTGAGGGAGGGGGCACCGTAAACAGTGCCAAGTCATATCCACCAGTATGTCCACTCATCGTTACTAAAGCATGAGGAGATGATGTGAAACAGTCACCCCTCCCCGCCTCGTGCCCCTCCCCCTCAACCGTAGCTGCTACCTTGATGTTTCTTAATCCCTCTCAGAAACATCCAAAACTGAAGCCAACTTCCTAGGAAATAACCGGCCAAGTCTCGTGGTCCGTACACATGTTGGCTACTGTAATCTTATTTGCAGATGGTGGATCGACTTTTCTTAGAAGCCTATCCTCGAGATGAATATCACATCAACCACCTCAAAGAACGATTCGCGTGTGAATTTGAAACACACGAACTGCTCGTGCAATTTGACCTCCAGGTATCTTTCTTCATAGATAACTTCTGGTAAAAATCGTTCCTAAATGCTCTGTCACTCTCAATAGATTTCTTGTTGGATCGTGGTGAGGCGATAATGAAGGCTCCACGATCACAGTTGTGGTCGCACCAATTTTAGTTTCACAATTCTAATGCACTGAAAAGTTAAGCTGGACATGAGTTACGATGAAGGAAAATGGTTGCTCATTGTCAGCACAGCCATCTACAGCCTTCTTAATCCAAATGTCTAATTTCATCAACGTTCTCACCAACCTTGCTGCTTGTTGCCCGCAAAAGACCCAGAGACGGAGGAGAACGGTAGAAGTCCATTTCTCCTCCAGAACAGAGTTTTGATAGAATACGATTCCCTACCATAAAGTGAAGACGTCAACAAGCCAATTATGACCCCGTCTTTATATTCTCTCAGCAAAATTGTCTCACCCTAAGTGATGAAAGGCTCTGCCTTCTTGAGCAGCTGGTGAGACTCTTTCGTTTATTAGTCCGAATCTGTCCACAGCTCCTTTTTGCCAGAGACTTTCATTCCTCCGATTGCAACTGTGTGATCAATCAAAACTGGAATCGTAGTTCTCCTAAAAATCTATACAGTTTTTACTCGAGGTGGACTGTATGGCGCTTCTTGAAATAACCACTCATTGCTGTGCGACTGATCACTTCAAGACGCGCTACACATGTAACCTGACCCACTATTTTTATTTAGTTGCTTGTTTTTGTCTTACCTGATCGCGCCAACTTATTATCAGGAACTTTTACGATGGAATCGCATATATTCCACGATCACAGTTTCTCTGTCCACATCGCTAGTTAGGTCTCACTATTGCAATAGTGGCAAGAATGAAGTGGCTCTTCAAATGTGTTCGGATGGACGAATGTGCTAAAAAAAGTTCAAAAATGGAAGCGTAAAGAAGCTCACTCTCGTAAAGTACCAAAAGGAATGTGAAGGGCAAATGGAGGGCAGAATTATGGTAATGGGAGAAACGTGAGAAGAAGAGATGAATCTAGGGAATTTATCGCACTAATGGAGCAACAACTGCATCTGTAATGGACGGAGTCGCACTCCTGCTCCGGACATCAGCGAAGCGTGGATGAGCTTAAGAAATCCTTTTGGAAAGTTTGCAACAAAATCGCTTATCTGCACAACGCGGACAACGCAGTCCTCGAAGGAAACTCGCTCTTGTCGAAGATCACCTCAAGAAACGACCTTGTTCTGTTCTGTTCCGCTTAAGCAAACATATTTTTGTTAACCATATGTTTTTTATTGGCTTCCGTGAAGAATCTATTTTGTCCTTTTGATTTTGGGCATCTCATCTTAGGGAATCGGTGCAGTAGAAATAGGTACCGCATACCACACGCACGGTGCGATGATTGAATTCGAGACCAGGGTAGAGCTAGTTGTGCGGAACCTATAAATGAGGTCGTCGTTGACCGCTAGGAGGGGATTCTTGAACGCACGGTCGGTGAGCCCAAAGTGCCATCACTGGGTTTTGTGTAGAGAACTTGGAAGACCATAAAATATTGAAATAATTTGTGCGAGAACGAGGGGGGGGGACCTTTTGGCCTTGCACCATTTCGCTAGTTCCGGCTTTCAAGTCTCACTCTGTTGAAACATGTGAACTCTAGTGAAGCTGTAGCAAGCTCGTCGGGCAACCATGGTGAATCTGTCATCTCCTGTGAGATCAAGCGATGCCTCACTTGATGGGACACGTCGGGAAGTGCAATACCGCCCCTAACTTTTGTAAAATCGACGGTTTGCAACGGATTAATACGTCGCAAACCGTCGATTTTGCGAAAGTTAATGCCTGTATTCCAGCCATAACTTTTAATTAAATGGTTCGCGAGATCTGGAAAACATATCATTGGATAGCCCTGCCTATGACGAATCGAATGGTCTAGTTGTTCGAATTAACCCACCACTCTGACTTTATTTTGAAGAAATCTGATGTTGAGTCTCTTATCACCTGGGGTGGTACCTGGAGATACGTCCGGTCGTAAACCCTCCAGTCAAAATGGGAGATTTAATTTGAGCGCTCAAAAGTAAAACTATCAACATATTCAGAAAGAGTGTGACCTCACCATCATTTTGATATCGCTTTTGATATGTTTTCACAATATTTCAGTTGGGAGTCGAGGTTCAGCTAGTCACTTTGAGTTGTGTTCGGCGCCTTTTTACAGCTGTGCCTTCAGAGAAAAAAGCTTGTTTTGGACTTATGTGCATGCACTGAAGATTTGTTGATACAAAGCAGTTGCAATTCTCTTTTAAGGTCAGTGCTCCAAGCGTTAGCGGACATCGTGTCATATTTGCGTGAATAGGCGATTTCTTGCTTTTTCAAAGAGGATTTGTGGGGCATTGTGCAGTGCTGTACACTCTACAGAGAAAACACTTACAATACACTCTGTGCGCACTATAATTTGTAGGAATTTGGAGACAGTTTTCAAATCCCTCCCCGTTTTCGGCTGGCAACTTCGGCGTTCCGCTTGGTAACAAAACTCGCTTTATATGATACAATGAGAATCGCACTGAAAGTAATACCGGTCGAATCGTTAAGAAAAATGCTATCCATTCATGTAAAAATTGTTGGAAAAAACTTCCTCGGTCTGTTGCTAGTTCATTGCCGGGTGTGTGGTGTTCTTAAAAGATCTCACTTCACACCTATCATGCCTCTCGGGGAGACTCGCCTGCGGTGTTGCCTGACTTAATTGCTCTCTCACTAACTCCTGACCTCTCCTCTACAGACACGACTGAGCCAAACTGAACATGGAAAGAAGAAGGAAAAAAATTAAACGTTGGAAAAGCAGAAAAAATGTTTTCATAAATTCAAAATGTCAAGAACACATTTAACCACTTAGAGCAACTGAAATGCAGACGTACACAACATGACATTAAAATGGGAAAAATTGCAATTTAAATGGGAGAAAGGGCACGTATTGAAAATTTTTTATTGTTTTCATCATGGAAGGTATTCCAAATGATTTGAACTTCTAGGCTCTGTAATTACTTGAAGGTTATGTGTCCTGCGCCAAGAACAATTGGACCAAATTGATGGCCATCTATAGGGAGGGTAATTCGTTAAATATGACCGTCAGTACTTTTAACTGTTAGACATCTCTTTTACCAACCTCACACCTGATATAAAGGTTGTCGCTAATCAGTAATTAAGCGAGCTGATTAGCGGAAATCTTTAGCACTGTTGTTTGTGTAACGCACAGTAGAGCATGAACGATAACATTCACTCCCTTTCCTCCGTTCCCACCAATTCTCTGATTTTCCCTGATGTCTCCAGGCAGTACATCACTCCCTTTCCCTTTATACACGTTTTCTTTTTCATTTGATGTCGCACAAAGCACTACTCATGATTCTTGGTTGTACACAACCTCATCGGTTCTTTGGGAGCAGTATACTACTATGCATGTGCCGTTTCCCTCGTTTTATGTTTTAACTGGAAGCACACACCTCGACGCCACACATTTCGATGGGATGAACTTCGGCTCAACTCCGCTTCCTGCTCTTAACGCGCCGGCTTCATTGTCATATCCACCATTAGCACACAACTCGCTCAGCCCCCAGTCATTCGTTCACTTTTTATTGCATGTATGGGACCAAACACTACGAGGTTTACGAAGCGGAATATTGTAGAAAAATGTCTAGATTTATTACTAACACTACCATCTAAGCTTAATTTAATTTGAATTTAATTAATTTTCAATTTTTCGTGTTTCATTTTAATTCATTTTAGCATGCTTTTCATCTTTGATTGTTTCATGTGATTCAAATTTTTAATTGTAGTCCTTAATTCTATTAAATTTGCTAAAAAATCAGCAGTAAATAATCAGTCATCATGATGTAATCGTCAAGTAGAGGAAAGGTCAGGAGTTAGTGAGAGAGCAATTAAGTCAGGCAACACCGCAGGCGAGTCTCCCCGAGAGGCATGATAGGTGTGAAGTGAGATCTTTTAAGAAAGTCCTACACCCGTTCATTGCCCTTTATCGACCTCTTAATTACGGTGGCCCAGGCATATCGATCAGTTTCCCCAATTTCATTTGTTAACCTTTCATTTCCACCTGCACACAATTCCTCTGGAGCAAGCAACTCAAGGATGATACTGATTGACTTTGATTTAGAAGTGAAATTACGTTGTTATTTAGCATATCAATTTGTTCGATTCCTTTGAGACTTCGAGCCAGTGCTATGATGCTCTTTTGAATTTCTGTTATGAGCTAATAGAAAAATTTGTACCTTCTTCTACGAAAGAAACAATGTCTAGGAAAGAGCCTCGACAGATATCCTTTTTAACAAGTCCGTGGCACGGTTGTACAAGAACGGGCAGGGGGTTTATGATCCAGTATATTCAAAAGCAGTTAAAGCACTCAAAAAGAAATTGGAAAAGCTCAAAGTAGGATATGAGACAAGAATAGCTTCATCAAGGAAATCCTAAAAGATTTTGGAAGTATTGCACACCCCAGACTGAAAGAATCCTCTAGAGTAGGCAATGTACAGTCCCAAATGTAGCAAGCTGCTTCCTCGATGCAGAAAAGGCTAAACTTTTTGCGGACTATTTCAAAACCTTCTATAGTGGCAGGCCCGTAGAGCCTGTTATGCAGCCTTCTTGCCACAAGGCCTACCTTGACTGGATTGATATTAGTTGTGAAGACGTGTACCGTGCATTAAAAAGCTTGCCACTGCGTTCATCCACTTCGCCCGATATGCTACCTTACATTTTCCTTCGCAGAGCTGCCATGGGGCTGACTCTTCCTCTGACCATGTTATTTAATAGAATCCTTTTGAAAGGCGATGTTCCTAAGATTTGGCGTATGGGCTGGGTCAAGCCCATACATAAAAAAGGTTCAAAAAACGAAATTAGGAATTATAGACCAATTTGTCTGACATCCTGTGTTAGTAAGGTAACTGGAAAGGATCGTCATGCTACCGAAATTAAAGAAAATATTCATTGTAAAGAAACCAGTCATTCTCTCCTTCCTCAAGCATGGATTCCTTTCAGGCAAGTCCTCGTTCTCTAC